ATGTGCTATCATTACTGCCCTCCAAGGATATTTTGTTCTGAGGTTTCCAATCATCATCATAAGCCTTTGGGATCCCCCTCTCGGGAGCGGGGTCTTATATATAATGACCTGCTTCTCTAACAGGCTAGATTGCTTCTTGGCTGTAATTCTGCCCTCCTTTGTAGACAGATCCCCTCACCTGTTCTCCCAAGCAGGCACTTGCTACACTTCCCTGCAAGTGCTGTGCAAGAATTGGCCGTGGAATGGCTGTGTCTCAGCACAGCTGCGGTGTACAGCTCCCCAACTCGGGGAGGGTTTCCCTGGCTGAGTTGCTATGGAAACCCTTTTCGATTCAGCATCTCAGATTCTGCCTTCTCTCACCCAGATCACGTTTGGCTGCTGAACGTGGCACTGAGGTGTGGGCCGTGCCAGGTGTGTGCAGTGGGACAGTCCTGCTCCTCTGCCATCCTGCCTTCTCCTCCTGTCTTGCCCAGGTGTAAAAAGCACGCACACCTCCAGCTCCTACCTTGTTCTGACAGTTCTGTGCAGCCTATATGCTGATGGGTCCATAGCCAACAATGACTGTTTTGTGAGTGGTTTAGGAAGTATTTCTCTGTTCCTGGAATATCTGCCTCCCTTGGGGAGGATGTATGTGAGGAGTGCTTCCCAGAAGTTTTGCAGGGAGCTGGGAAATGCCATCTCCTTTAAACAGCAATGCAGGGATCCTCCCAAAGTCAGATGTACAGTATTTGGTAGATGCTCCACAATGGCATTTTTGCCAAACAAGGAAATGTGGATGTGGAGACAGGTGTGGGGATGCAGCAGTCACCTTCAGGAGCTGGCGTTTCTTTCACATACAGATACTGCATTGAGCAGGAAAGCTCTGGACTGCTGTGGCAAAGGAAAGACTGTAATTAAAGAGACTTTGGGCTGGGCTTCAGATTTATCTCTGCTGAGACAGCAGAGCTGCATTGGAGTTCATTTCAGCTTTGCTGCTGCTGGCTGCAGGTGCAGCCATTTCCAGCTGCCAGCCAACACACTTCCCTCTGGCCAGAAACCCCCCATCTTTCTGATAGAAGATATATGCCACCCAGAGGCAGCATTAGCCTGCTGCTGCAAGGCTCTGCCCAGCACTACTGATTCTCCTTCAGGCAGGACATGCTGCCCTTGCACTGGGCTGAACCACCTCATGCCTTTTAGGGGCTGCACTTGGTGCACCATCTCCATGAGCATTTAATGCAGCTGCATTTTCACGTGGGTTCTCTGAGCTGTCCTGACATCTCGCTGGTTCAGCGTACGCTGTCAGCTGCTGCTTTACCTTTGGATGTTCTTTGTGAACACAAGCTCAGCTGTTTTAAAAGCCTTTAAAAAAGCTGCTTAACAAGCTTTCCTACCAGAAACAGCCTTCTCCCGGGGGAGCCCTGCCAGGTTAGCCAGTAGATGGCAGTTTCTGTGCTCTGGACACGCTGCTGGCTCCGGTCCTTGTTCAGAGGGAAACACAGCACAAGGCCTCTTGGCTGGGTAGCTGGATATTAAAGATTTAGTTTAAGAAAACATGGAGACAGTGAGGGAGCAGGGCTGCCCTGTGCCTGAGCCTTTGCTCGTGCAGCAGGCAGGCCCCAGCTGCCTGGTGCTGCCAGCAGGATCATCCTGGGTCAGTGCATCAAGCCTTGGCACTTTCCCTTTAGTCGCAGGGCAGGTCTGATCCTGTATCCCTGCAACATTCCATCACAGTTTTGGCATCCTCTCCATTCTAGGGCTCTTCTGCTAGACAGACCTTTGCAGTTTCTTCACTGAAATTCCAAACCCTCCCTCACTACCTACTGAGGGTAAGCATAGATTCCTGTTGTAGGATACTGAACTTCCCAGTGTCACTCTTGCACTCCCAGGCCCAAACATCATAAGCTGTACTGCTTTTAGACATAATAGACCACATGAGAGGTGGCATCAATGCCAACAATTTGTAGACTCAGTGCTTTCATCTGCCCATAACAAGGTCAGGACTTTAGTATCTCCAACCAGTAAAGCTACAGGGAAATTACTTTTCTCACATGTGCCTTCTTCTGTCTGTTGTCTGACAGGATTTGAAACCCTGTTAGCTTGCTACTGCTGGAAACATAAGGCAGAGCCTAAGACAGCATCCTCTCTCACTTGCTGTTCTACCAGCACTTGGGAAAAATATGCCTGTAACAGCATAAAGAGAGTAGTGAGGCAGAAGGACTGCTCTGATCATTCTGGGGCACACAGGTATTACAAAAAAAATAAATCTGCAAGGTGGGGTACTTAAGAAAGGGGTGAAAATTCACATTTGTGGCAGCCCATGCAAATCCCAGTGACCTATAAGAAAAGTGGCTCTAGGAACAGTGCTGCAGAGCCATTCGCTCCACACCCCGGGGACAAAACTGATACCAGCCTCCCATTCCCTTCCACCCAGTAGCTCCCTACAGCTGAAGTTGACAGCAGCATCTGAGGAAATTGAATTTGGTTTCTTTGATTCTCACTCCCCAGGCTTGTGCTTAGCTGGGGAGCTGAGAGGCTGTGAGCACTGAATCAGTTGTGAACTGACCGAAATGTGAAAACGTTGCTCCTTTAGATTACCTGTTGCTAGAGCTGACACATCTATTGTCTGGAGTGTTGTTCTTACTGTATCTCATTTCCAGAATGACTCCAGCTGCTGCTTTCTTGGTAGGGTGGTGGGAAGCTGATGGAGGAGGCAGAGATGATTAGCGCTGTAGCTCATGTTCTTTTCCCTTGGAGCACAGACTGCCTTTACACACCACAATCTAATAACGATAATAATTATAAATTACTCTGGGAAAGGAGACTGTGAAGCTCACTAGAGTTTGGGGCTTTATTATGTGCTCATGGACATCTTCCAAAACACACATTTAATTGCCGTGCCTTCTCTGGTGCACACAAATTGTCTTCCAGTGCCTGCATGTGGCAGGGGTGGGGGTTGCACTCACAGAGGATGCTTGCCTGTGCTGTCAAGTGTAAACAGAGAATCTCTGAACTAAAAATAACCTCCCCTCCAAGTAACAGACCATCTGATTTCTGTATCCCAGCCCAGATGCAGGGAGCTCAAAAGGGTTAGCTCACCTATTTTGGTGCTATTTGATCACCAACTCCCCCATGTCTGATCCTTTGGCAATTTAAGACAAAGTGCCCAGCTGCTTCCCCTCCAGCAAGAATTTGCTTCAGTGTGCTCTTACAAAAATACAGGTATGGAAGTCAGTATGTTAAGAGCTTTGCTGTGAGATTACCTAAAGCCACATCACACATCATCAAGGGGGCTGTATGGCATTATTTTGGAAAGACCTTACCTCCTTCATAATCACTCACAGACTTAAGGTATTAACCAGCCCACCCTGCGCTGGCCTTTCCTTCCCTTGGCTTCTCAGGCACCTTGTAGATGCCAGTAATTGAGGTCCAACAGCCCTGTGGGAAGGTTGATTACTTTATGGAGGAGGAATGAAAGCCTGGAAAGACAAGGGAGGTTGCAGAGAGAGCTGGTGGTGGTCTGGCATCCTGACTGCCAGGCCTGCTCTCGGTCTGCACTGAACTTGCATTCCCATTCAGCCTGGGAGGCCAGCATCTGTCAGATGGAGTTTGCATTAGACATCCTTTTTTCTGAGGCTCTATTATTGGCACGTCCTGTAACAGCAAAGCTTCGTTTCCTCTTGCAGAGCTGGCCAGAAGGGCCTCGTCTCAGGTCCACATTCAGAGCAGATCAGACTCACTGCTGTACTCCTCAGAACCTTGTGCCAGGAGAGTATGGCTGCAACATTTTTTGTTTGCATCTTCGTCTCATGTGAACCATTTTCCCCATGTTCTCTTTATTAACGTTCTGCCTAGGTTTTCCATAAATAATTAAGAACCTCATTTGCTAAAAGAATTAGGTCTCTCAAGGTACCTGCAATCAGTAGCATTTTTCCTCCAGCAAGGAAGCAACTGTTATTTAGTTCCTGACAGTAATTGTTACTGTGAGACAGAAGCAAACAAACTGCAGTCTTGCCATTCAAAACTGGCTTTTGTAACACAAGATTCTCTTCTTTTGAAGCAAGAGAAGCATAAATGGGGAACAAATGAGGGCTGGGAAGGGCATGGTGGGGACATGTTAGAGGGCTGTTGTTCTGGAACACTATGGGACTCCTTTTTAAACACTCATTAGAATGGGGCAGATGGAATTAGTGCTTTGCTGCTATTTTATCTCCAGTAGACCTGCCTCATCGCTAACTGCAGATTTAGGGCATTTGTGGAAATAGATGGTGATGAATGGGTTTTCATTAGTTTAGAAGAGGGAAGACTGCAAAGGAAAGTGCCTCCCAGAACCATCCATCACACTGCCCTGCAATGCCTCTGTAAAAGACTTTTAACAAATGCTGAGCACAGGACAGATCTCATAAAAAAGCCACTATTCAGATTATTCTGGCAAGGAAGAGAATTGCATCTAGTACCCGTGGGGAAGTGTCTAAAGTAAAATGACCTCTGTTCCTGGTTCTTGACAATGGAAGTGCAAGGAAGCACAGAGAATGTGACTACAAGAAAAAGCAGGGCACAGCAAATGCATGCAGAGTGCTGCTGGCCTCAAGGTATGCTGTGTGCAGGGATGCACGTCCTGCATCCTGTCATGGAGCTGGCAGCTGGGCAGCTCCAAGTTTCAAGAGGCAGACAGCACTGAGTATGGCAGGCTTCAGCTTGAGGGCATGAAATACATATAGGACTAGAAGAGACTTAATAACCTAAGAGCCAGTTCTCACCCTGCACTGCTGCCTGACCCTGGTCAAGGCAGGTCCTGGGGGAAAGCAGCAGACAGCAGGTACTCTCTGAAGCACCGTGCTGCAGCTGCATCTGCCTCTCTCCCACTCAGTCATGCAGCAGCTTGACTCTCTGTCCTTCCCCTTGGCTCTTGGGAGCAGCCTCCCTGAGCAGAGCTGACTCACCCAGGTGTGGTGCTGGCCAGGTCAGCCCTGATCAATGAGCAGAACAACAGAGCCACAGATGCAGAGCACGGGCAGAACTATGAAATGGTCACCAGCCAAATGCAAGAATCTGTATTCAGCTCTACCTTGTGAGTCACAGCATGGAAAAGAAGTGTGAGAGAGCAGAGACAACCAGAATGTAAACTTTTGCTTACTTTTTCTTTCATACTCCAAGCCCCACCTCCATCACCCCGCATTACAGTAACAGATGCAGACGAAACACACCTTTCTTGGAGCTGATCTCTATTTCAAAGAAGGCTGCTCCTGCTGGAATAAAATGTGAACACTGGCATGGGTTGTGTACACAAGTCCCCAGAAAGCTTTGCCAGCCTGCTTACTTTCTTCCCTTCTTAAACACCCTGAAACAAATACTATTACAATAGCTCCACCCCTACACAGCTGTGAGAACACTTCATGCAAAACAAAATAAAATAGAAACTAATAGCAACAAAAACAACAGAATAATAATAAAAAAAAAAAAAAAAGAGAGAAAAAAAAAACAAAAACAACCAACAACAACAAGAAAACTAACCTGAAAGCCTCCAAACAGAAATGCCCCTCCCTGGCTACACAGGTCTGGAGATTTCAGTGTTTCCTCATCACCCCTGTGTAAGGGATGGGCTCTGCCTAGACACAATCCAGCACAGAGTCACCAGCAATTCTCCACTCCAGCAGATTCTCGAGGTGTCAGACCTAGTCCTGCCCCAACTTGCAGGCAGCGTGCAGAAGATGTGGGTTCCTCTCTTGGTCACCAGGTGAGTGAAAGGAGAGGGAGGCCCTGAGGAACTGCACTGCCTTGATGCTGGTCTGCCCAGGATTGTCTGGATGCAGAGAAGGCATTACATGGCAGCCGGTGCTTGCTAAGTAATTACAGTTTCTGCAGACCTGGGAAACATTCCCAGGATTACTGCTGTCTTTGCCTAATCTATAGCAGCAAAGAGGGCAAAAAACAACCACAAAGTCCAAATCAGCACTCCTGTAAGGTTACTATCTACTTCTACACAGACACTGCTTTGTCATTCAGCATAGGGCTATGCATGCTCCTAAGTAACTACGGGGACTCACAGGACACCAGGAGGGAGACATGACTTTCCAGGTTTCTGCAGTGTCTCCCTCAGGCCTTGCTTGATTCTTACATCTAGACAACATCTACAGTAACCCACAGACTTCCCACAGGCCCTGCAGGGCACTGGTCCCAGCACGCTCCAAATGCCTCCTGTTCTCATTGAATCTGGATAAGCATGGCAAGCTGGGACCTGTACCCTTCAAAAGGAACACTGCTCATCTGACACAGAGCAGGACATCTCTGTGGACTGTTTCCCTATAAAAGAGAGAGGAAAAAAAAAAAAACCAAACAAGAGCAATTCTGATTTGCTCCATTTAATTTCAATTAACTACAGCCCTCAGAGGCCAGGAGAGATGCCAATCTAGCAGTTGGTTGGCCATCCCCTCGGGCACGTCCCATTTCTCAGATGCTCCTTTCCCAACCAGGCCTCTGCTCTCAGCTTAAAGAAGTTTTAAGAATTCATTAAATCCCACTGCGTTAAACTAATAAGAGCTTTTTCTGCAGTTCTTTTTCCTCTGGAGGCGGGAACTGAACAGCACTTGGACAGACAAGCACCCTGCTCTGCACTGGGGACTCTGCTACCTCTGAAAGCTCCTGACAGCAACCAGTGTTGTTGCATCCTGTTAGAAAGACACAATGTAGTTAGGCTGGAAAAGGAGCCAGTGATGTCCTCAAAGTGCTGATACTTCTTTTCCCTCCCTAAGTTGGGAAATAAGCAGCTTATTTCGCAAAAGGCAAGTGGTTCCCTAAAAAACTACTGAAAAAAATGCAAAGGCTGCTCAGCCCCTTCTCCTAGAAAACTGTAAAAATGGAGACACTGTGGCAGCAGGGAGGCTGGGAAGGCAGCAGAGGGACAGCTGCTGTCTCTGGACTGTGCCACAGCCACGACAGGGTCCAGAGAGGCCCAGCTGTGACTTGTAGATGCTTCCTGTGGAGGATACAGGAGCTCAGGGCCTCTCTGCTCTCCAGCTCGTTGTTCAGTGGGCAGTACGTGGCTGCAGCTGGTCACCACACTGTCCAGGCAGCTGCTGGTATGTTGGCATATCCTGCCCAAACAGACCTCAAGGCTGTTCTGTGATCAAATTTGCTGTCAGCAACCAGTCCCAGGTCAGGCTCCCCTCCTCCGGAGGTGTCTCCTCTGAGCTTGCTGCTGCTCAGTTGCTCTCCACCAGCTTAGCTAGTCCTTGCCGGATCTCACTGAGCTCAAAAATCTTCACGTCCATTATCTCTGCCACCTTGGTGACCTCATTCTGGATCTTCTCCCTCTCAGACAGGGTCTCTGCCAGGGTCTGCTCAGCCAGGTGAAGGCGGCGCTCCAGCTCTGCATTGCGTGCCTCCAGCTCCTGCCAAAGGACACAGCTACAGTGAGGTGGCTGCCCCAGCACTGATAGGTGCTGCTCACAGATCTCCACACTTATCTCCACCAAACAGTTCCATCAGCACCCCAGCACAAAGCTGCCCACACCCAGACATCGCAGGTCCGCATCAGCTCTCTCACAGGGGCTCTGCCTACATTAAGCCACAGCATGCCAGCATGCAAATCCATATGAACGTGTGTCCCCTGACCCAGCCATCTGCATGAGGTTTGAACTGGTGTTAGTGATGTGGATTTCTCACAAACTGATCTTCAAGACTGATGGCATTTGATGTTTAGAAATACTATCCTGGCACGAAAAGCAGTGTCTGGGTGCAGGGCTGAGCCCTGTGACAGATCCCCTCCTTCTTCAGTAACTCAGATAGGCAAATGCAGGCAGTGCCCCCAGAGACTGCACAGATCGTGCTTCCATCTGTGTCCCTGCCCTGAGGTGCAGAGCAGCTTGCATCCCTCCTGCCAGCCAGATTGAGCCATAGCTCTTTTCCCTCAGCCATTGCTGGCCATCCAGCAGGCTGAGCAAGACTTCAGAGGGATGGACAGGTCACAGGATGCCACCATCCCACTTGTGTCCCACGCCAGGTCTACAGCAAGGGCTAGAGGAGAGTATGTGCAGGTTGGGTTTGCCACTGCCAGCTGATGGCATCCTGTCTAATCTCTGAGGGACACAAATTGGGTGGAGGAAGGCAGAGACAGGGACCAGTCCCCATCACCCAGAGGCAGCGTTCAGTTTGGCAGTGCTGACATTTACTCTTAAGCTCAAAGGAAAAATGGTCTCTCTGCTCCAAGTGCAGAGGTGTCCCAGACCTGCCATCATTACCTGGAGCTTCTGTAGTGTCTCCTCACGCTCGCCCTCTGCTTCCCATCGGCCGCATTTTTGGCTTTTCAGCATCTGAATCTCCTAAAACACAAGGGGGAAGAGCATCACACCAGATCCACCTTTGTCCCAGGAGGGCCAGCTCCTGTGCTGGCTTATGAAGGCTCCTGGCTTGCGTAGCATCATGTGCAACAGCATGAGGTACCTGATCTCAGAGAAGCTATGAATAACAGACAGGGTGTTGGTGACTGACAGGCCACCCAGATTCAGCAGAATTCAGATTTCCTCTGCTTCATGGGGATATTACCTCATCTTTAGCCTTGATCAGCAGCTCCAGTTCTTCCAGGGTTTGGCTCAGCTCTTCCTTGTTGTTCTCACTGGAGGAGTCATGAGCCCCCTGTGACTCCAGTTCTGCTACCTACACAGAAGGAAGGGAGTTATGCTTACAGACACAGGAATGTCCCTACATCTTATTACTAACAGGCATTTTCTGTCATGTTCCGGATCTCTTGCAAACACAACTGAGCTTGCAACAGGGTAACAGCTCAAATCCTGGCTACTGGGAAAAAAATGTCCCTCCTTCTGCTCTGCATAGATCATACACAAACACACACTGCAGCAAAATCCTGTTTAGAGTCTCCATCTCTGCTTTCTCCTGCAGTCTTGCACTTACAGTAAATTCTGACTGGCTGACATCTAGCACACGAGCCCATAGTTCATAGCAATGGCCAGATCCAGCACCATTTACAGTCCCAGATTGATACTGCTGTGGGCAAGGGAGTTACTGCAGTTCAGTCACAGCAGAGCCAGCAGGAAGGGTTTGTCCAAGTGTGCTTCCCATTCCCAAAAAATTCAGCCCAGTGGCTTAAATTATTCATGACAAGATTCATTTTTAAAGGCTAGTCAGAAAGTCTGCAGCAGCTGCTGATGAGGCCTGAGCTCTCAAAGGGCCTGTGCTGAGCTTTGCAAGTGCAGCTCCAGCACTGAGTACTCTCACATGGACACACTTGAATCCAAACACTTTCCCACAAACAAGGGCAGCCTGCACTAGGATTCATGTAACCGTGGCCACGAGCTGTGAGGCTCACATAGTTACAGCCAGAATCAACCAGCTCTGGTCTCACAACGTCCTGGTTTGGAGACAACTGTCTGGATGTTCCAATGAGTTTGTTTATTCTGTGATTCTACAAAGTCCCCATTGGCTGCCCCTCACTCATGAAAGCCTAACTCCTGTCTCCTGGCTATGAGAACAGCCACCAAACAGCTGAGAATTCACAGAGCGATGGCAAGGAAATGGAAGCTCATGCCAGCCAGCCCTGAAAAATGCACATATGTGTAGGCACAGCCAAGATCTCAGTTATGCTTAAGGCAGGCTCCTGTTGCAGAAGAGAAAATTTGCTCTGAACAACTCTTTTACTGTCTGACTCCTCTGCTGAGAATTAGGAAAAGGCACAGTGAATCCTGAGGGATGGTTGTTTACTGCACAGACTGGCCACACAACAGCCATCAAGTGGGAACAGCTGTTAATTGCTATAAAACCCTGCTGTCTTTTGAATGCACTAGAAGTGAAATGCTTTTATGCTTCCTTCTCCAGGGCTCCAGAGTCCTTTTCCAGAGCAATTCCAACTGTCCTAACATGCTTTCTTGAATGCACTGCAGTTCCTCCCTTCCAAGAAACCCAGCCATGTGACTGTCACTCCTCTGCCCAGTTGCACACAGGCCTCCTCAGTTGATCTGCGACCTCTTTGACATTACGTAGGTCAAAAGATGCTATTATTCCAACTGAACAAGTGCTTGTTTGTACTGTGCAACCCCCGTTTCATGATGTTACAGCTTAGATTCCAGCTAATTATAGCAGATAGAGCAATGTTCATCCTTCGTGCCAGCAGCCAAAAGGCTGTCCTGATGCCCAGCTCTGGAGGAAAACAGGCCTTACTCAGCAGAGCTGGCAGCTAGGAACCACCTTGGAGAAATATGAAGGGAAGCCAGTATTCTAACTTAGTGTTCTGGTTTCCTCCCTTTATCTACAGGGACTCAGCACACTCCCAGCTTGCTCTGCAGAATAAAGGAGCTCTTGTGAGAGGCCCCTGGTTGCGTGACCTTGTTCCTTGACACATCTTCCCTGCCAGACTCACACAGCATCCTGAATTTGACACCCATGAAAACTGATGGGAGAACGGGGTCAAGGGCACCATCTGGCTCTGGAACAGGGTTTCCTCTGACCTGTCCTACAAGGGCCCTCTTCTGCTCACCCGCTGCCGCAGTGTTTCCGTCTCCTCTTGATACGCAGCCAGCTGCTTCTTCCACTGGTCCACATTGGCATTGGCTTCATGGAGAGCAGCCACAAGTTTGCTGTTGTTGTCCTGAAGGCTAAAGAATTCAGCTTCCCACTGGACCTCACTCACGGAGCTGTGTAAAAGAATAGGGAAGCACGCAGGACAGCATGAGAGTCTTCTTATAAAGGTTTTGCTCCCTCATATTGCAAATGTGCACTGAAATCATGCTCCTGGAGATGCTGGGCAGCTCTCTACCCTGCACAGCTTTTTATTTGCTTTTTGTCTCACTTCTCAAATTTAAATGTATCCTTCAATCCTTGAATCTGCTTCTCTTTCCTTTATTCTCTGATAATATTCAACTTCGAGGTCGTGTGTTTTCTTGAAACTGCAGAAACCACACAGTGACATTAATGGTCGGGGGGGGGGTTGGCAATGTAGGATTGTGAATCCATTTTTAAATCCCTGTTGGATCTGAGTTTGCTTTGAGTAAAACCCTACCACCCAACTCGGGAGAAGGCAGCAAAGGACACTTGCTTTTAATTTAAAAGTATTCTAAGTGTTCAGCTGGGAGCTCAGCAGGAGCCGCAGGGCAGAATCCAGCCCAAAGTCTTTTGAACAAAGAGCAGAAGCAGCAGGGACTTTGCTGGAATCATCAGGGGAATTAACACAAATGCAGCCTTAGGCCAGCTGGAAAAGTGTGAACATCTTCTGGTATCACAAACTACTGATTTGTAGATAAGTGGTGTGAACTCATCCCTACTGCAGACTCAAAGCTTCTCCTTCCCATCCTGCATGAATAACAGATTTCACCCCTGAACTGAAAAAAAACTTTCCCCTGGGGAGAAAGGAAATTGTTACAGCGGAGGGTTTGGGCAACAGCAAACTCAGAGCATTCTTTAGCTAACTAAACAAGTATTATGGGGTCAGCAGTTTGACCCCCATCAGATCTCGTCAGTTTGAGCTGAGATCACGTGGTTATTTAGGAGCTCTATGAGCACCAGGAGAACAGAACATGCTCCAAATCCTGCCAGAACAGAGAATTTAGAAGCCAGGAACTCATAGCAGCCTCACCCTTCTGAAAGCATCTTCTTCAGACGCTCCTTCTCTGTGCTTATCTCAACATCAGCACTTTGGCTCCTGAATAGTTTATCTTCTCCTGGTCCATTTGAGCTGATGATGGGGCTGGGAAGTACCTGAGGGATGAGGAAGAGTAGGTTATCATAGGGCAGCAAAGAAAAACTGTGGCCACCGGATTCCTGCAGACTCATTCACAACCTGGGTTCACAGGGCTGGCTCTCATTTCCTGTGTTTGTGTGCGAGACCCCAGCTTTCAATGTCAGCTCCTATAGTGCTGTGCACAACATTTACATGGCAAAGACCCTCATGCTCAGCAGAATCAATCATGGTGTAATTATGACTTCAGAAACGTACAGACACAGGGCTTCCTCTTGGACAGGGGAGCTGGTGTCTGTCCTGCTCAGCTCTTCCAGCAGATGCTCTGCTCTCACGTCTTCCCTTTCCCTGCCTCCATGCTATGTTGGGGCAGTGATCCCAGTGCACAGACACCCTGAACAGGTGGGCTCACAGCTTGCCCACACAGCTCTTCCTCCCTCCTGACTTGAGGTACTGAATTCTCTGGCCCTCAGCTTTCCCTTGACAAATGCCAGTGATGTTACAGCCTGTAATTTGAGTCCCATGGCTGTGCCCAACGTGCCAAGTTGCTCAAGCTGGCTGTTTCAGGGTTTTACTGAATTCTTAACACGACTTTCTTGCTGGTTCTCAGAGCAGTTCAAAGGCTTAATGCACTCTGAACACAGACCTAGCTATGCCACCTGTGTTCAGCTGCAACTCGTTTCAGTACACTGAATTAAGACACCATGTACCACTGGAACTGTGGGGCTCAAGGGAGGGAAACTCTGCTACTGTCACTCACTTTTCAAAGCGTGGAAGAAAAGACTCATACTCCTAAAGTACACCTCTTTCTCTAATACCTCCCTGTTCCTGTGCAAATCGGAGCTAGAAGAGATGGATTCATCCTCCCAGCCTGAGGGAAACTGACAGCAGAGCAGCGATGAACGTGCAAAATCCAAAGCAACCTTTATATCCTTCTCTCCAGAAGACCCTGTCTTCATGGTCTCCCTTCATAGCAGGAAAGAAACTTGGCACAGATGTGGCAAACTATAAAAAGACTCTGAGTAATGAGACTTTGGGATTCTTAGTTGAGGGCTGTGAGACCAGGTGGCTGGTGAGCCCACTGGAGTTGATAGGTAGCCCTTAAAAGCCTGTGATAAGGACAGCCACCTGTCTTCAGAGTCATCTGACATCTAAAAATAGAGCCAGACTGGGCCACAAGATGTGTTGAACACCAGCTTCAAGAAGCCTTCCAGAGGGCAATCGAGAAGCAAGACCTGCAAAATACAACCCTGCCTCATCTTGCCCCACAAAGCTCTTTTTGTAGGTGGAGAAACGGAGGCAGGCAAGGTGCAGAAGTTTTTGTTCTGGTCTGTTGCTCCTGTGAGTTCAGCTGAAACTGGTAGCAGTTGAAGATGCTCCACAATGTTTTGCTACTCGCAGTACCCACAGTTACTCTGTGATGGAGATGCTAAAACAAGATGGGGATTGACCTAAAAGGTACTAGGGGATGGGAGAGAACTGCTGTCCTGGGATTTCCTCTTAAGTCTGAAGCCTAAATTAGCTAGTGCAAATGCAGAAAATCAGAGAGCCCTGATTTAATGTCAGGAGACAGGCCTGCTCTCTGCTCACTTGCAAACAGAAAAACGATCAATTATTGAAGGATGAAGCTCATGTTTGAAGCTGCATTAACGCAGGGACTGCAAACCAGTAGTAGGAGATGATGTGTGTACAGGCTGGGGGAAGCAGGACAAGGCCTGCATGCCCACACAGCAGCAAACGCTGCATGTGCTGAGTGCTGGCTGCCAGATGGCTGCAGGCAGGGGTCATGCATACCTATGTGTGAGCTCTCCCGTGGTGAGATGAGGCATGCTGAATGGGAAGGGTGAGCATGGGCTTACACTGAGGCCATTTTAGCACTGCTGAGTCAAGTACGAAGAATGAACTGAGCCTTAAGGCCACTTCCAAGATGTGTGCCAAATCACCTTCTGATCACCTCATACCTTCTGCTGTAGCTGTGCATGGGAAATGGACACATCCTATTGTGACATCTGTTGCACTCAGCCTGATATAAACAGAACAGCAGAGTGTTTCTCCACTCTCTGCTTGCCTCCCAGCCAGGGAAGCTCTCATAGTTGCAGCTGACCATGAATCTGTCTTGGTTCTGCTACGAATGCTCTATTCAACTCTCTTACTCATGTGCCACATATTAAGATGGGACTAAGACAGTGGGAGCCAAAATCTAGGTGGGTTTTGCCCATTTTTCCATTCCACGTGACATTTCCAGTCTCTTGAGAGCCACTGCCTCTACCTCCCCCTCTTTTCCCTGCAGGCCAAGGTACTGTTCACACTCCCTCCTCCTCCTGCTGCCATTCCATCTGTATTCAACCCAGAGAACGCAGCATCCTCCATCCCACAGCTCCTCTCCTTCTGCCAGGAGCTCAGTGAAATCCATAGCCACCCCTGGAGAGCACTACTTGGGAGGGCAACTTCACCATCAATGCCAAGCTGCTGCAACATGAGAAAAAGATGCGTAGACATCTCCACAGCTTATCCTCTCCTCTCCACACTCCTGCTGCTGGAATTGATTTAGTTATACAGGGACAGGCAGCAATTGCAAGTGTGACAAATGTGAGAATGATAAGTGACGGGCTTCAGCTTTCTGGTCTGGGGAAAAATGAAATTGAATGACTGGTTGTCATGCTTGCATCTCTTAGTGAAGATTTCCCCAAGGTGGAAGGTAGTGATTTCTGCAGGGATAGCACAGCTCCTTCTCTTCTACAGTGGAAGCAGGGCAGAAATGGAAGAAATATAGCAGGGACTCCCCAGTCACCAGTGCTAAGAAATCACTTTGTCTTTCTGAGACCATCAGCTACCAGAGACACTTGAGAGAGGAACTCCCCTGCAGCCCCAGCAAGGGAACAAAAATGGCTGGAAATGCCATGTATCTTTTCTCCTATCTTCTTTAGCCAGGCAGCATGCATTCTTGCATGTTGCTTGCCTATTACTGTCACACTGAGTCCACAGAGAGCCAGTAACTCTAAAGAAAATAAAGCCAAAAACCACTACCATCACCACTAACAGAAAACCCAAGACCTCCTCCAGTATGGTTTTATCAAGACAAATGTTGAACTGGCAAAGAGGGAGGAGTGTCAACCTTCCAAGAACTCCACTTAAGCAGAAATCATTTTATCCACTTCATGTGCTTCAGCAGAGTGACATCAGGGTCACAGGTGTCATCAGAAAGAGAACCTCCAACCTCAGTGTCTATCAAGAAAGCTTTTGGGCAGAAAAGACAGAAGCAAAAGTTACTAGAGGAGATCAGCACAGTGGCCATTTTCCCTAGCAGCCGCTGCTCTGCAGTAAGCTTTATCCCTGCACATCCCCAAGCATTACCTGGTGAGATGTGATACTCAGGGCAGGATTGGTCAGTTCTGTTTTATCCTGGGACTTCTCCCTTGCCAAACGTGCTGCTTCTTTCACCTCCTGGAACTTCTCTGCGAACTGGAAGGAAGCAGAAAAGTCACTCTGCTGCTAAACTGAAATGTGGAACAAATTAGAATCAATGTCTGGGTCACTCCTCCCTTTGTTATTTCATTTTATGTGCTTTCTACTTCAATTAGTAATAAAAGTGAAGAAATAGCCCCTACCTACCCATGATTCCAGCACTCAGAACTGTGAGAGCAGCTAAATACTCATGGAGCCCTAAGTCCAAATTCATTTTGTAACAATCAAGAAGCTCAACAAGGATCACTTTAAACCATTTCCTCCTATCTTTGCATCTTGAATTAGGTTTTAGCACACTGGGAACAGCACTACATCAAGACCCCAGTGTTTCTATTTCCTCCTGAGTCTGATCTCTCCTTCTGGGTTTCAGGGACATTTTTCTTACTGGGATCAGGTCTCTACCAGCATCTGCCACATTACCTGGGAGAGGTGCTGCTCTGAAGCAAAACCCAGTCCATATACTGTGTTGGCTCGGCTATCTGCCCACTGTCCAAATTTCTGGGATGTCTTTGTGAAGGTCATGTTGGGGGTGATAGTGCTGTTGATGATTGCCTGTGGAGAGAGGCAAAAATGAGTTAGAGAGAACTCCATCCTGCTGCCCCAGGGTGTAGTATGGGATCACCACAATCACTGAGCACTCTTGGAACTCAGGGTAGAAACTCTCTTTTAATAAAGCAGCTATTCAGGGTTCTGGTGACCAAAAGTCTTTCTAGTCTAGCTATGAAACACAAACAAGTGTGAATCTTTTTGTCTACTGTAAGAAAAAAATAAATAAGAAAGCCTGAATGTTACAATCTTTATTGGGCCTCCATTGCCAGAAGAAAAGAAAAGATGCAGAATGCCTCTGGGGACTGAACAACTTTCTGATGTTCTTCACTTTCATGGCAAGTAGGAATTAAAAAAAACAAGAAGTAAAAGGCTTAAACTGCACTTAGCACAAGTTATTACAGAACACTGTTGGTTAGAGTAGCAACACAATGAACTGCTTGAGGAGATTGCAAGAATCTCTGCCACTGGAGGTCTTCACTGGAGGAAACAGGTCAGAAAAATCTCTATCAAGAGCAGTTTAGGGAGAATTAACCTTGTCTTGGGGGTAGCGACTGAACAGACTGCAGCACCTCTGTTTGTTCCTTCTGTCTACATGGGTCAGTTTCAGCACAGGATCAAGGCTCTTAGAAAGATCTCTTTTGCATGCTCAGAGAGGAAAGAGCCAAGGAGCGAGAGAGAAGAAAGCACACTTCTCATTAGCACAGAGCCTAGTGTCCATACTGAGTACATTCAAGCATGGAGGCAGTGCTTTATCTTCTATTCCCTGTAGTAAAGACACCAGAGTGCCCCATGCTGGAAACTAATCAACGTGACACAAAGCATCCAGAACAGACATCAGTTGGAGACAAACTTGCTTTCCAGCTGTGATGCTGTCAGCAAATGCTCCCTACCTTGGTGCCCCCCACACTGATGATCCGGTACACGTTGCGCGTGGCATCGTAAAAATAGGAGACAGTCAAGGCGTGTTTGCTGGCGGGGATCCAGTTTCTTTTGGTAGCAGGGTCAATTTGGAAAACATGGGCTCTGGTGCTGAAGATTGGCTGCTCCCTGCAACAGAAATGAACAGAGCTGTAAGGGCAGAGGGGAAGCTGAGCAATGGGGGAAGTGGACTGACTTTCTGGCACTTGCATTGCATTATGCATCCCCAGTGGCACTTCTGCTATTTGCCTCCAATCTAGAGATATGTGACAGTGGGAGCTAAGCACAGTAGCTCATATGGACATAGTAACAAAGCCACCAAGGGTGTTTAACTATAGGCAGAAGTTTTTACCTTCCTCTAGATCTTCTCTGTCCTGCTCCGTTGTCTTCACACATTTCTAAAGACCACAGCCTAGTCATAGCAGCAACAACACCCCAAGGTTAGCAAGCCTTACTCACACATTCACCCAGGGATCAGCATTCAGCTTGCAGGTAGAAACACAAACAGGACATCACAACCTCGTGTTCTGTCTACCAGATGGTCCTACACAACACAGCTGGTGTGGCAAAGTTAAGCTAATAATTAGTGGTTATATTATTTTTAGCCAGATTTGAAGTTTTCTTTCACTATTCCTTGGCACATGAGCAAACAGTTCATGGTGACTTCACCAGCTATATGATTCTCTGGCTGCTGTGCTGCTTGCCCTTCACAAGATATCTCTGACCTGGAGCTCTGGGAAAGCGGGTGGATGAATAGATGGAGGATGGGTTTGGGCTGTGAACACAAGTGCCTTCCCCTCAGCACAGCTCTTCCTCCCTTGACTCATGCTTGGGAAGCACATCCTGCAGTGAGAGGTCATGCTGCAGGATTAAAAGCAAGTCACTTAAGAATGAATTAAAGGAAGCACTTCACCACACAATGTGCAGCTGCTGCACAAAAGCAAGTAGTGCCTGGATTCTGTAACCAGTAATATCTAAGCTGAACTAAGGAACTGAATCTCAGGCATCAGGATGTAATCTGAGCATTTCAAGAGGCAGGAAGAAATGTTTCCATGACACAACAGACCAGGTGCATCAGGGCTTGCAGTCTCCATTTTACTTTGTTTAAAACCCAAGGCACTGGCCATTTCCACACTTCAATTCAGTGAAGCCTGATGTGGTTGGATGTATCCCATGACTTCTTGCCTGGATAAAACAGCTGCAAACAAAGCATAGTCACAATCCTGTGACATGCAAGTCCCCGAAATCCAGAAATTTATTTCCAGCCTATTTTAAGTTCTCACAGCTGCAATGAAGAGAACAAGATGATGACTGTACCTGGTGCTTTCTGAATGCATCAACAAAACTTAGGAAGGAAATAAAATTCTCCCTTTGACCTCCCTTTTTCCAGCTTTGTCCTCTGGTTACAGTCCTGACTCAGCTCTCTTATTCAGAAGAAGCCTGTGCAAGGGTCTGAACCAGATATTTCTGTACATTCCCTCTGTCTGGTTTAATTCAGCCACAGCTTTTTTTTCAAATGAGACTCAAATTCTCTGGGCTGCACTAACAGTTACTATAATTTACATGGATCATGACTTATCCTTCAAGACACAGAATTTACTGAGCTGGGGAAAATGAACATTTCTGTGCCTTAACCCCCAAGTCCTGGGCCAGTGTCAGAAAGAACAAAGGAAGGTCATTACCTAGCTGTAGACATTTGTTAGTAAGTGTAAGACAGGCCACAGGCCAGTGGAGTTAGTATACGTCTCTCCTCCAGCAGCTTCCTTCTCAGGTCTCCTAGCTGGATTGAGACTCCTTTTTGGTTTTGCCTCCACAGTGATTCATTTCCTAGCGATGGAAAAAGTCAGCTGTTATTTATCACACAGAACACAGACAGTGTTCAACCAGGCAGCACTTAGGGGGTTCGTTTGTCCCAAACTCACAGAGCTTGTAATTTGTAATGATCTCTCATCACTGAGCAAGTTTTCTTTCCCTGTCATGGGAGATAATTGGGTGAGCTGTGTAACTGGAGCAAATCCCTCTGGCAGCACGAGCCAGCTGTTGGGAGTGGGCCATGGAGGAGCCTGGAAGGCTCTAATGTTTCCAGTCATGCACACGTGACACTGGCTGCAGTGACACCATGATGGAAAGCCCTGCTCAGAGATCACCCCTCACACGCACAGCAGTTATTCCTGTGCTCAGCAGCAACGTCTGCTCCTGGAATCAATGGAAACCATCCTGCTGACTGCAGCGGGTTTCAGACCAAGCAATGGATCTGATGGCCCCTGCCACGTGCCCTGACTGAGCTCCCAGACCCTCCTGGAGATTTTCCTTCTCTGATTGCAGCAACAGTGCTGCAGTAGCACCTGGGTATTACTTTCCCTCTTAACACCAGGAACGGAAAATAAAATGCCACTGGAACGTCTATCAGAATATCAGAATCTTCACAGTGGTTTGCTTACGTTTTTTCCACTTGCACGAGGCAGACTTGGCTGCTTGCTTACCCAGAACACAGATGAGGCATGCATGCCCGTTCCCTGCTCTCAGGTACAAGGAGCTATGCGCCAGGTATGCTGAAATTTGCACCACTGTTGGTGTCAGTGGAAGGGAGCTCTGCTTTCATGCCGTTCTGTGATCACTGCTGTCTCAACACTTCTCATATGTTTGTTCCTGCCTTATGGTCTTCCCCAGAGCAACAAGACTTCATGCTGTCTCTGACAGGTCTTTCCCTTTCAGTTACAAATGTGAAAGTCACACAGACTTCACCAGCAAGCTGAGAGATACACCAGATGTGCTTTGCTTCCAACAGAAAGCAAACTGCCAGCAGCAGCAGCAGGGCACGTCTATGACTTCACCTGCCTACTTGGTGCCAAGGAGGGAACTCCAGCACCCATCTCCCTCTGAGAGAATTAAAATATGCAGAATCTCCCAAAATTCTGTTTCACATCTCCCCTTTCCTTACCATAAACAGAAACAGTTGCTGCCAATTTGCAAGTCCCTAATAATGGATTTTTAAGATAGCATTATGAGACCAGCATGTTATTGCCTCCTCATAACCACCTGAGTACAGCAGCAGCCTGGCATGTGAACAATGCTTTCTAGGAAGCAGTTCCTGAAGCTCTGTAGGTAATGATCGAGGAGAGCTTTGTGCTCTGCTTGGGAACAGCACTGAGATGTTCACACTCCTTTCTTGTGGAGGGGGAAAAAAAGATGGTTTTGTAAATCCAGCAAAATGATACAGAATACATCTAGGTAGTAAAATAATGTATTGCACAGGATGCAATGGAAGTGTGGAAGCCTTCCTTTCAGTACTCACATACTTGTTTGACAAGGTTAAAGCAGACATTACACAACAAAAGCCCTCCTAGGATCTAAATGGTGAAGCACAAGAGAAATAGCAGGCAGCAGTAACTGCAAGAGGGGAAAAAAAAGCAAGGAATTGAGACTACACTGGTGTGGGAATAGGGGAGGTGAGCAGCTCTGGGAAGGTCCTGACAACAGAGCCTGTGCAGCCTGCAGATCGAGGGTACGCATCTAACAAGGCACCAGGGAGCTCTACCTTACCCTCTCTGAAGTTTCTCAGCAGAACCACAGCAGGGTTTGGCACAGCTCAGCACAGCTGAGTGGGTTTGCAAGGAGGGGGCACAAGGAATACTGCAGGGCACCGGCATACCTGCTGAAGGTTCAGAGCAGGAAAAGCACAGGTGCTGAAAGCTGTATCTGAGATGCACGATCAAGGTACTGTCTGAAGAACACCCACCTGTGATCAGCTTGCTTCTGGCCGAGCTGCTGGCCCCTTGTCTCCAAAAACACTACAAAGCATTTAAAAATAGTCCTGAAAGTGCCTAGGATTCAAACTGCCGTGTTCTCTTTCCCATTACAGCCCTCTTTCCCCTTTTTAAGTGTCTAAACTAGGTTCACCACACATCCCTAAATGCTGCCTCTTCTTTTCCTGCTCCCGGCTAGGAGTCCCTGTAACAACTAATCCAGCTGTTCTTTGTAACACCAAAGCACCTGGCTCCAGGATGTTGTCTGAGCACAAACTCAGCTACCTCCTTTTGTTGATTCTCCTTAGAGAAGCTGGAAGAAGGTCACTGGGTGTCTGGGGATGCCATGGGAGCAGAAGGGATGGATCAATCATAGCTGATTTGCTCACCGAATGGAGTTCGACCCAGTGGTCATTAAGATGGCATACAAAAAATGCATGCTGGTCTCATTTCTACCTTGATTCTTATACTATTCTCATTACTACAATGTCCAAATTGATTTCTTAATGAATAGCTGCTTATTTCACCATTGCAATGAGCAGATCATTATTTGTCCTCTTATTTTATGGCCCCAGTAGAGTTGCAAGGACTGAGAGAGCCAAAGGAACTGAGTTGGCCAGCACTGAGCAAGGGGCCTCACCATGTTGGGACACATCACTAAGCTGCCAAGAGCCTGGAGGAGAATACCCTGCAAGCAATGGCATGTGTCAAAGAGGTACAGATGGCATCAGTTCACTCCCTTGCACTAGTGCCATATTTCACCTGTGGGGTACGCTGAGCAGAGAAAGTACCAAAATCTGGATGAGATTAAAACCAGTGCTGCTCTCCAATTCTGTGTAATCTGAACACATATGTCAGTAGATTTACGGACTGTCCTCGAGTGTCCTGGCCGGATACAGGCTCTTTATAGGCCTGTAAGCCTGTTCCTATATAAGATGTTCTGAAGAAATCCAGTGCTTCTGCAGACAGAATGCGCCAGAGAATCTCCCCTGCAACAGAAAAGGATATAAGCCACCTCCCAGGGAGGCCCCTCCAAACGGGCTTGCAGCTACAGCTGTTCAGGGGCAGCACCAGGGGCTGGCACCAGCTCTGTTCCCCTGGAGCACTGCAGTGCATGTGCCACGTGGAGAAGCACATCCCCAGGCACCACAGCACAGCACAGCATCCAAGCTGAAGCAGAGCTCCTGCCAGCAGGGAGCTCGTCTGCCGGCTCTACCACACAGACCATCACGCACAGAGCTCTCAACACACATCTACACCTGCAACGGGGAATCACCATCAATTCCTTTGCTTGACATGTCTTTAATGGAAGGATTTTACAAAGCATTTTCTCTAATCCTCACTAGATAAATACTCCCAATCCAGCAGATGGATCTAATAACCAAATAGAAATCAAAAAGCGAAGTGATTTTTCCATTTAGACCACAGAAGGCATAGACAGAGCTGGGAACAGAGCACGTTCCCACTGCCACCTCCAGCCACAACACCCAGTGTAAAATGCTATGAAGCAACATCCTCCGTTTTAAGGAATAGTTTATGTTGCAGGATGGGACAGCCAGCCCTTGGAAGAAATGTTCAGCAAGACATTTATCTCTGAGCCTGAATTTCAGGCACTGTGGCAGCTTCTGTGTTTCATTGTGTGCTGTCTTCTCATTTTCAGCTGCCTGTTGGGTTCTTCACACAGCATGGTCTTCTCAGAGAAATGATGCTTTGCTGCATTTACTTTTGGGGAGTATTTCCAGTGCAAATACCACCTCTTTAGGAAAAACCCATTTGACAGTTACAGGCTCGCTCTCCTCAGTGGGTTCCCAACCCTAAGGGCAACTGCTAAAATACAGCCTTCCTGCCAGACCTCTTTGAAAGGAAAAGAGGGAGAAGAACAAACCCTTTTATTATTTTTTTTTCTTTAAACACTCTTTGCTTCAGATCTTTTATGGCACCCAGCAATGTCTTTGCTCAGTAGCTTCTACACAGGGCGTGGGGAAGTGTTTCTGCCTGCACCACTGCATTTGGCTGATGCTTTGTGTCCTTGTTTTTCTCCGTTTTTCCTGTGCAATCTGGGGATTTTTCCTACTGAGAATCTTTTATTTTTTTCTCCTTAGCAATTCTGGCCTCACAATCCTGTCTACCCACCCGAAACACGCCTATTTAGTAAACCAAATTACTTACTACCTCCTGCCCACCTGCCCCCTTTGCTGCACGACCAGAAAGAAATCTTGTTATGTGTGCTTTGGAAAGGAAAGCTTTTAGAGTCACCATTCCCCGAACAGATGCTGTTTGAAGCAGCAGCTGGGATGTGCCGAGGAGGCTGAGCTTGGTCCTCATTAACTGCATTTGCCTTGGTGTTCCTGGATGGGGTTCAGCCAAGGGCACCTCTACAGGTTCACGTGCTGTTCACCCTCTCTCTCATTGCAGCTTCTCTTTGCAGGGACATTCATTTACTTGTCAGACAAAGAAGTCTCTGCATTTGGATGCAGAGAAGGTGATAATTTTAAATATCTTGCTCTGCATCCAGGCAGTCCGTAGCCCCCCTTCATCTAAAAACCGAGACAAAAATGCTGTATGAGGAACCACAAAGTACCAGCAGAATCGTTGGTTTCTGTGAATGATGGACACAGCAGTGCACAGGTACAAGGGCAGGGAGCAGCTCTGGGGTGTGATAGCAGCAGGACACCTTCAAGAGCACAGAGACTTAGGAACATATTTTTGCACTGTGCCCTGCGGCTGGGCTCAATGCACAGCCATGTAAGTCCCCAGAAAAGAAGTCATCCGATAAAGGTCCATGGACAGCATTGGGTAAGGATTTCCCAGCTGCTGTGGTGGGAACTTTGCAGTTCTCACTGTTATCTTTCCTAAAGTTCTTTCTCTCCAAGGACAACTTTCCTGGACGGGTCCAGCTTGTGCAGAGCAGATGGGGGTACGTGAGAGCATGTGAGCACCAAAGATACGTGGCTCAGCTCTGGCGCCCGGCCCAGCACCACGCTGAGTCAGCTGGGAGGCCGTGCTGGCTGCGTCAGGGCTCTGCCTGCTGCTGATCAGAGCCAGCACTCTCATGTAAAAAGCCCACTGTGCAGTGTGGTGCTGGGTAATTTGAGGGAGGGGCTGGGGGGGAATGCATTTCAGCCCACCAGGACCCGGTATTTCAAAAGGCAGAACTGGAGCATAAAGAGGATGTGAGAACCAGTTTCCTTCTCCGCTGCTGTCTATCTTTGTTTCCTTTTATCCTCCCTCAGCAGCCTGAATAGCTGATGACTGCATGTCAGTGCTTTCTGAGGAAGTGTGGACTCACAGGACTGCAGAATCAAACCTCATTTCTTCCTCATTGCCTGTTTTCTGAAAATCTAACTTTTCCCAAGTCAGGGACTGGGTCTCACTACCTCCACAGCCTATGGAAGCTATTGCTTCCTCACAAATGGGTGCAGAGGGCGTGCACGGATACTGCCTGCTAGGATTTGGGTACTGGCCTGCAGGATGTGATCAACAGACACTGAACTGCTGTAGTAACAAAGTTTGGGAAGGCTCGCTCACAGCCCTTTGCTCCAAACACCAGGCAGGTTTTCAGGCCCTCTTAGCTACAGCCGTGCTTTCATCCAGTGCTGCATCAGGTCACCTTGGGCGAAATGCTTAGATGCTGCTGGAGTCCAGGTGGGACCAGCAGAGACCACACTGCTCTACTGGCAGCCACACAGGAAAGGCTGAGCAGTGAAGCTCCGGCAGTGTTAGCTGGAAGCTGCCTGTGGGCTGCTTTCCCTGTGGCCTCCCCCAACTCCCAAGAGATTACCCAGCAGTGTTTAGCACAGGAATGAAAAGCAGCTGCCTCCTGGCCTGCCTGCAGATAAAGGGCAGCAAAGGAATCCTGGCTGAATATGCTCCTGTTGGGAACAGCAGCAAGCACGCAAGGTCAGGCAGAGAGAACGGGGATCAAGGGCGTTTAAAGGCATACGTATCCTTATCCTTGTTATTTTTTTTCCCCTCTCTCAGAAACCAGTCTCTATTTACAGAGCATCTTGGTCGCTGAACACTGCAGCTGGGTGTCTGTAACACAACCTACACATTCACTTTCCTCAGACAACTATTCTGCTACTGAGCATCAGCAGTTCTTTCTTTTGATGCACTGCTGGAAGTCTGTAGAGCAAATACAGTTAGAAAACAGCAGAGCTAGACTGAAACTGAACAATTCTTCATACATTCCAGAAAAAAAACATGTTCAGTAATAAAGAGAACCAAAGAAATGGACATAGACACGAACTCCATAATGGATTCTACCTCTGCTTCTTGACTGGAAGCCACAGGACCCATCTGATAGGCACACGTCTGCTTTCCCTCAGCTCCTTGAGGTCTGCTGCCATTTTCAACCCGTACTCACAAGAGCTCCAGGAGCACAACCAGCACAAGGGGCAGCTCTAGCTGCTGCTCACAGTGCAGTGGCACTACACATGAGCGGGTGAATTCTTTGATAAATGGGACAAACGGGAAAACTACACTGATCCGATTAGAAGTTGTACCTACTTGTGCTTCTGTCTTCTATGCAGTTAGCAGTCAGAGAAATGTAAGTGCCTACTGAAGTCTCAGCTGGATCCAACTACATTCACTTCCCTCTCAATCAAGTGTTAGTTACAACTATATTCTTCAGAGGGGAAGTGCTGATGTGTTAATACAAGAGTCCAAGGACAGTTTGTCTGTGGAAACCAGAATGTGATGTTACCAAAAACATTAAATATGGAGGAACAAAGCTCAGAATCCCTGCTTCAAAAATAAGTTAACTAAAGCCAACAGAACAAGCCATAACATCATTTGAAGGTGGTACACTTTTAATCTTTTGTATTGAGAGGAATCTAACTGCTGCTGAAAGCTACTTAATATCCCCATGCGATCAACGTACAAGTAAGAAGACCTTTTAACTCAGGAGATAAGTGGAAATATGGAATTTTGGGTGGAAATGTCATCTCTGGCTTAGTTTTGTTAGTACACTGCTACAGTTATACAGGGAGATCCAAGCAGACTGAGCTCAGAGCTTCTTCCCTGGGAGCTGGTGGTCTGAAGTCACAATGACCCTGTTCCAAGCAGGGTTCATTCCCACCTCTGGGAAATACACTGCGCTGTCACAAGCTGCCTGCCTGCTACGCCCTTCCTGGCACTTCCAGAAGTTTTACCGTAACTTTGTGCATCACAGGAAAAGTTACAGGAAAACAAGGCCACTTTCTGCTTTAACCTGGATTAGCACATACCCTGCCAACTTCAAAGGCTCTATGCCTGCTTCACACTGCTGTCACTTTTGATTCCTCGCCTCTACCTGTTCTGTGTCTTGAAGGTGTGTCTGCCTGCTTGACTGTTTTATCTACACAGTCTATAAGGAATATCAGCAAGGGGAAAACAAGCCTCTAAGAATCTCACTTATTTGTCTTGTAATGCCAAACCCACACAAGTGGAGGGGGTTGATCAGACGGATCCAGCACGCTTTCAAACAGCCACGAAGAGTTTAATACACAAGAAACTCCCAACAGTGTGTCAGGTCCTTCAACTTACATGACTGAGATTTATAAATAGGGCATAAATTAAATACCAGGCTAAGCTCCTGTTTCCATGCCAAAACCCACTGCCACATCCACACAGCATTATTTCATTACAGAACACTGGAGCAGAGGTTTTCAATCAGCTGTGTACCCACTCAGAAATGCAAACAGGATCCATTTTCCTGAGCGCCAAAGTGACCACAGCCGAATAAAATCTCTTCACTCCCAACTTCTGGAAAAGTTTGTGAACACAGCCCAGACCCACCCAGGCTCACACTTTGGGCTTTGTACAACAAATGTATCACCAGAGGCTTCCCTTACACATGAGTTCATTTACAGAAGTTGCAGAGACTTGCAATTACGTACTTTTTAATAACAAAAAACGAAAAGCTAAGTCTAAACTTTAAAGCTCACGGTGTATGGGGGAAAAAAAAAAAAAAAAAAGCAATATAAAACCATTTCTTTTGCAGTTACGTTAAAAATAGCTCAGCTGCCATGAATAATAAATGCAATTCAAGAATAATAAAGTGCCAGTCTCACCCCATCTCTGCCTGGGCGTCAGCTTCTTTTCTCTCCCGTCCTTTCTTCAGCTGCCTTAGATTCTCTCCACGTTGTGATTTATTTCTCCCTTCCTCTTTCTTTCTCTGTCTCTCTCCGGATCCGGATGCTCTTTAAATTTCCTCCGGAATTTCACTTTGAAATCTGCTAGCTTTGCGGTCGGTTTCCAACGCCCGGCAACCGCCGGCCGCGCGGAGCAGCGAGGGCAGGGGCGGCCCGGAGCCCCCCGACCTGCGGGAGCCCAAACCCAGCGGCGGCCCCGGGCGCTCCGCGGGGATGTCGGGCGCTGCCCCGGCCGCTGCGCTCCCCAGCAGCTCCCCCTGCGTTCTGGCTCCCGGGCTCCCTCCTTCCCTTCAGCATGGGAGGGGAGCAGCAGGATTAGGTGGTGCTTTTGCAAGCGCTTTCAGACAAAGCCGTCTGCTCGCAGCTGCTCCGGCAGCCCCGCAAGTTTCTCCCCGCAGCCCAAAAGCCCAGCCACCGCTGCCGCTCGTCCTCCAGGATCGCGATTTCTTTGTTCTCTCTCGTGTTGTAGTTTTTCGGTTTTTTTTTTCTTTCTTTCTCTCTCCTATTCGCTTCCTCCCTTCACCAACTGCCCCATCTCGGTCACATTTCTCCGCTCCTTCTCTCGACTTTATTCCAGGGGCCGGCGCCGGCTCGGCGGCACCACCTGCCGGGCACAGCGAGCAGAGCTGGGCGCTGCCGAGCAACGCGGGCACAGCGGGCACAGCTCAGTGCCACAGCCGGGCACAGCCCATGGGCACAGCTGGGTACCACAGGCCGAACGCTGCTGGATCACGGTTACTGAAGGGGCTCTGGCTACCCACAGGGAAAAGAAAAACAACAACAGCCCCCTCTGCTCGCACCCCCCCCCAAAAAAAAAAAAAAAAACAACCAAAAAGCAAACAAAAACCCCCTGCAATCTTAGTCTAGATATATTCTATCACAAACAGGTCGCTCCTTGTTCTGTCTTTCGTGATGCAGTTCATACAAGCAGAAAGTTAACACATGGCACGAATACTCTCAGACAATAGTGAAACACCCCTGGAAGAAGGGATGCTGGGCAGGCTTGGGGAAGGAGCCTCGGTAGAGAGCAGGCAATGCCAGAGTGCTGCTGCAGCCCAAGGAGCCGACACAGCCCTCGGCTGAGGTACCCAGGGGCAGAGAGGTGCCCAGCTCACTGAACAACGGCAGAGGGCTCACAGCAAAGCCATGAGAAAGAACTGTTCCATTTTGAAAGAATCAAAGTGCTGCAATCCATTCATCAAAGAAAAGCATACAGCGTGAATCTAACACAGCCATAAAAGCTCCCCGGCAGAAATAAACTTTGAACAAGTGCTTTCCAGTTGAGCCAGCACAGGTACAGCACGGCCTGAGGGCTGGGAGCAGGAGCTGAACAGGTCAGCCTGGGGAAAAGCAGCATTTCCAACCACAAGGGCAGACACAGCAGCGATCCGGCCTGCTGAAGGCAGCAGAAGGCCCATCCAGGAATGGATATTTCACACCTGCTCTTTTGTAGCCTCTATCCAACAGCTCAGAGTAGAGATTTTGCACACTGCAGCTGTTCTGTAGGCAAGGCCCAAAGCGCACCCAGCCCGGCGTTCCCACATGCAAGACAAACAGGATGGAGGCCTGCTTGTGAGCACTGCGTATTTTGTCACTTGTGACAGATCACAGTGGGGTGGTATCAACTGCAGTGGGCAGGGTGAATCGGTTCTACTGTCTACAGTTATTCTCAGCTTTAAGTAAATTACATCAGTAACTGTGAGGCTGTGGATGAGTGCATGAGCACACATGCAGTTTTACAGGTTTTTAGAGCAGGTCCAGTAATGAACCTGAAGCGTGGCTTTGGCACAACAGCATTCCTGCATTTCCTCCAGCATTCCACTCAGATCCTCACTGAACACCACTGCTCAGCTCCCACAAATGCCTGCATCACCTTAAAACATCCCACTACTCTAACGAAGCCTCTCATAAGCAGACAGTGCTGCTGAGTGACGCTGCTGGATCATCCCCACCTCATTTATGCCCTTCACTTATCAGGGCACTTTAATGGGAAATGTTCCCAAGAGAGATTTTGTTAATCCCATGCAGTTCTGTGCATTAATTTCTCCATGCGTTAACCATTTTAGAACTTGCACCAAAATAGTAAGCTTTGTACGAGTAATTTTGCAATAAAAGGTGGGAGCAGTGCTGTAACTCAATATTAACGGCACAAACACGAGCGATACCAACACTTCATGCACTGCTTTCAGCATTTCAACTCCACTCTTTTCCCTAAGGCATTTAAAAGGGAGTTTTACTGAGGCAGGTGTAATTCTTTGTCTCCCGTGTCTTCTCTGCTATTGCTCACATTTGGGGCTACAGTTTGCTGCCAAAAATTTTAAGCGTAACATCAGATGAAGTCCGAGCTCTGCTTGAAACGATGGCAGCAGCTACGAGCACAGACTGCTGGAACCAGGAGAGCTGAGCTGTGCTGGGGGCTGTGGGGAAGGAATGTTTGCCCAGTGCTGTGCTGTGCTCAGATGGGTGAGGGCAGGACGTGAGTTGGAGCAGCTGCAGATGCTTTGAGCAATGGAACCAGCAGCTCCAGCTCTGCCCCAGCAATACTGAGCACCAGCAACGCTCCTGCTTCCTGTTCTCTGCCCTTCCTATGTGCAACATGGGAACCAACGACACAAGGACTTGAACTGCACTGAGGATACTAACGAAAGTAGGGCACAGTATCTTTCATATCGACCTGTTAACGGCAACTTATCTACAACTCCTTGAAGCTAATTATTTTACACGTTTAAATTAGGGTAATTAGATCAGCAGGAATTGAACTAAAACCAAACGCTGGTAGCCTTGTGAGGATTTTCTGAAATGGGGTTCTGTATTCCATCTGCATCTCCTTCCACTGAGGGAAACGACTGAGTTCCCAGAGGGAAGCATGGAAATTTCGATCACTTCCTACGTTATCACACATCACGTCCCATCTGCATCGTTAATTGCCATAAAATGCAGGGAGGGAGAAGGAATACAGGTAACAGAACCCTGCAAGGAAGTCGCTTCCCTTTCAAACTCTGAGACACTTCAGAGCCCCTCAGATGCAGTTTCTGCTCTGCGCTGGTAGTTACTGACAGGCAGCACAGCTCACCAACAGAACAGTCTTTAATTTTCAGATGTCCATTTCAGAGTTCTTGTCCACGCTCTGAGTGAGGCAGCACAGCCTTCTCTTCAGGAATCCAAAAGCAGAGAATCCGTGTTATTTGCCAAACAAGAAAATGTAAGAGAACTTTTATTTGAAAAATGAAAAACAGTTTCAGAAAAAAAATGCTCAACTTTTCAATGCAACTTGCAATTCAACTTTCAGCTCCTTTAACAAAAGGAGCTGCACAGCTGGAGTTCTGACCAAATCCGCAACAATTTAGGCAGTATTTACGTCAGTTCACGACTCTTCTGCACAGAAAAGATGCATCACAGTATCACTAAAAGCACATTAGAAAAATAAATGTATGGGAAGTTTTAAAAACAGTTAAATAAAGAGAAAAGAGAGGAAAATAGAGAAAGATGTGAAGACGACTCAGGGACTTCTAACAAAGCATTGGATCTGACACCAATACTATGGTCAGTGACAAGTAATCTAACCTGATGAAAAATGAGGGTAGTAGCAACCTCTCGGGGCATTGGGAGACTTAATTAGTTGCTATTCGTAGATTAAACACAAAGTCTGAAGGTGAAAGGCACTAAATGCTAAGTATTATTAGCTTCTGAAGTATTAACTTCTGTAATTGGGCGACTCCAACAATACAAAAAAGTGGATCAGTGTCAATTTTTGATTAAAAAAAAAAATTTATTCTTATGGTTCTAATTGTCAAAAAGGCATTTTGCTTTTAAAAGTACCAGCTGCTAACACGACTGTGCGACGCACAATGCTGCTTGTCACCTTCAGTTCTGAGCTTCTGACTCCTACCCAAATTGACATTCCACATTCCTTAGCAGGAAACCTCATCTGAAGCAAGCAGCTCCACAAGCTGCACACACTGCACTGCGCTGCACTCCTTGAGGAAAACTCACAAGCATTTATTCATTAAGAAAAGGCACGTCTGCTTGTGCTGCTGAACTCTCTCTTACAGCCCTTGATCTTTCTGTGGTCAGTTCTGGATTTTCCAAGTCTGCATTGGTGTCTTTGGAGCTGGTCTCTCCGATCCTCCAAGGCAGAGATATATGGCCCTTGTAGAAATTCCAAACGAACAAGAAAAAGAAAAGAAGAGCAAAACCTGCACCCAGGAGTTTTAAAACAAGATTCTCCTTTTGGCTGCCCACAAATTTCTGTTTTGGTGCATCTTTCAGTAAATAAGTTGATACTGAGGACTGAAATCCCACAGCTTCTCCTTCGTTATTGCCATCTGTTGCAGCATTAACATTTGCCTTCTCTGTACTCTGCTGTGCATAAAGGGCATAACGGGCCACAGTGATAAAGAATTCCTTTGCTCTGGATGTCTCTACTGAGAGGCAATCATAGAATCCAGTCTCAGCCGCTGTCGCATTAAGTATTGCTATTCCTCCATCATACAGGAGGTATTTAGAGTCCTTATCCTGAATTCGGCTCCCATTGAACTTCCACACTACTCTTGCCAGATTTGAAAGAGGAACACATTTAAGATGAACATTGTTTCCAAGAGTAAAGAGGTGTTTTCTCACATCATTCTCTGCAATTATGAAGATAATGTTTTAAGTAAGAACACCGAAGATTTAGCTGAACGTACAAAAGCAGATGCATGCTCAGAACACATCACTGAACCTGCCAGTCTGAAAACAGGTAATGGACACATAAGCAAAGACAAAGAAATCCCACGACTAAGAGGTCCAACACAGGGGCAGGGTGCCTCTGCTGGCCTTACTCCTGCTGAGGTGTGACCAAAAGATACGGGACCACAAGTTTTAATGTGCTTTTGGCTCACCTTCAAATGTGGGCACACATAAACAGATCAATCTTTGTAAACCTCAGTTCTTCTACTTGTTAATGACACAGCTTCACGGATCTGTCCGTGTAGATCTGTGAAATGTTTATATTAGGTATTTTGAAGTTTCTCAATTGGCCCAATGAGTGCCCTAGTGTCATTTGTGGTGTACTCTCAGACAAGATTACAGACAACAGACTTTAAAAAGACATAAGGGGAGGTAAGAGAGAGATTTTGTGATACTGACAGAAGCCATGCACCTTGCAACTCATTACGAAGTCAATGAATAACAACACACACATGTGAAATTCCACATTTAAAAGAATACCAATTTCACTAAAAATAAGCATTTTCAATGGCTGATAACAAATCATCTTCTTTTTAAGCGTACTTTTGAATAGCTTTTGTGATCTGTCTGCAGAACAGCATCCTAAAAGCAGTGACAGATTTAATAGGACAGCTAATGCATCATGTGATTTCTGCTAAGTGCACATGGGAGGGAAACGAACACACACACACACACACACACACACACACACCCGCTTCCTGAGTTTCAGCCTGACTGAAAGGGTTAAGATCATTAGGTGGTACTAATTGTGGGGTTTTTTCCCTATCTTTACTATTCACAAAGAGTAACAGTGGGTATGATTGTAATTCTGTGGTTTTCTACAGTGTAAGGATCCCAGTGACCACGTGCTGAACAAACATTTCGGTTGCATGATGTTAGAAGACTCATTTTTCAAATAAAAGCTCACATACCTGCACTAAGGCAGCCAGAAGCATCCCCATATTTCACATTTTGAATTAAATTCCTGGGAAAACAAAAACATCAACAAAACTGTAACAACCAGAGAGATGTTCCACCAACCATTTCTAGGAACCACCCCAGTTTTGTGTTGCAGGCAGTAGGAGCGCACTTACAAAGCAATCTGGCAGACCTGAATGACTTGCCTGGATGCCTACCTGTGCGACCTGGTGTAGGGAACCTGCTTTGGCAGGGGGGTTGGACTCGATGATCTCTGGAGGTCCCTTCCAACCCCCACAGTTCTGTGATTCTGTGACTTACTGTGTATCAGCAGGCTGATGTGGCAGCAGAACACACGCACGGGCAGCCTGAGACCAGGCGCAGTACGGGTCCCTGGCCAGGACGCAATCCAAGCAGTGCTTGTAGCGCTGGCAGCCCGAAACTGGAAGCTGCAGCACTGCAGACAGGGACCCCACATAGAGCATCCCCTAGAAACACAGGAGGGAGGTTTCGTTTCATAATGGTGAATGAGATTTTCGATTGCTATTTTCTAACGTGGATTATATTATTTCCTAGTACTTATTAAAAAAAAAAACCACAGTAAACTAAAATCCTTGAAGGAATGGATGCTGATATAAACGAGAAAAAACAGCTGTGTAACATGTAAAACAACAGAGTTCCTTCCCTATTTCTTTTAATGACCATAAGGCTTGCAATAAATATTCTTACACTAACATGCTCTTTTTCTATAGATAAAAACACGTATTGTGCTTCTGTTATTAGCTAATATGTGATGGAAACAGAATTATGAGGTATTTACAGGCTACCTAAGGTCAGAAGAACAGTAGAGAAGAGCCAGGCCTGAGGCAAGTCATTACAGCAGTCACTTCCCATAGCAGGGACAGCAGCTCTACCTTTTTAGCAGACAGCTGCAGGAACTGCACAGGCTCAGGGGACAGAAACAGCTGCAGCTCTTCCACAATGAACATTTCTCCATCGCAATTGAGAGCTTTATGCAAATATCCATCATCTACATAAAAATAAATGCATTTTTATCTATGGACTTGTTTAAACACTGCATAACATTTTAGCCTGATAATTCACATTCAAATTAGGTGAGATGGAGCAGACATTCCTGGGCATAAGGAATTTATGAAATTCTTCAAAGCAATGTTTATTTTTTCTTTTAATAATGATTTTTTTTCCCCCCAGAGAAAAAAGACCTCAAACAATCCCTGAATTTGCAAATATCGTTCTGTGAAGTCTCCTTTGATATGGAAAGTTTCTAAAGAGAACCTTTTAATGTCCAACAAGCCAAAACCATTTAATCTAACTGGTATGAAAATATTCAACCAGCAAGACAGCTCCTGAATGCAAAACTTCAAACAAAGCTAATGAATTCTGTTGTTTTTTTTGAAGCGCAAAAACAATCTGTCACAAAATACAGAAAGATGAATAATATCTTCTAAAATTAAAACCCTCACCTGTTCCTAGAAACATAACATCGTAGGTCTGCTTATCCAGGCCAGTAACTCTGTCTACCACAATCCTGGTGTAGTTTGAGCTCCTCTTCAGCAGTGCAGGCCTACCACCGACTGGATTTACAGAGCCATCCATCAGAGGGTGATCTCTAGCAAACTGCAGGACTTTGTCAGGCAGGTCAGAAGATGTATTATACCCCAGATTCCGGGCAAAATTATCAATACACTGGAAACAAAACATGTTACAACTGATTACAATTGCTTTTACATCTCAGCAAGGTATGTGAAAAACACTGAATTTTCTTCTAAATTCTGGTATTTCCATTTAGCTCCAAACATGAACAGTCATGATTTCCTCAAACAAACCAGTTAATAACCCCACAGCTCCTGCAGAACAGAACTGCAGAGCAGCTGTCCTGAGAGAGGCCTGTGACAGAGCGAGCTGCTCTCTGCTGATTAGAAACACAGCATTTATATTGGTAAAACAGGCACTAATGCTTTGCTACCAAAAAAAAAAGATAAGAGCAACTATTGTTTAATTAGAACAAGGAAAATTGTATTTACAGCACCAGGACGTGGAACTGGCACCTCTCCTCTAAATGCCATCCATCTAACGTGGGAATGCTCCACAGCTATGGGGCCCCTGTAGCTTCCTTTGGAGAAGGCTTCCTGAATGCCTGCCATGCCGTATGCACACACAGCTGATACGTCCAACCTGCCCCTGAGAAGAAAGAAACAGAACTCCTGCAAAATAAAAGCAGGTTTTATATGGGAAGAAACACTACAAAACAACCAGATTGAAAGAACAAACGTATATAGAAAGTAGTGTAAAGTAACCCAGTCTCCACAATGCACACATGTGAAAGTAAAAAAATACCTATTTCTATGTTGCAGTTTTCACGATTCCCTGAAGGAATAAAACAAAGACATTCACAAAATATTGTATTAAATAGGTTTCTGTTAAAAATCATATAACCACCCTCCAATAAATTGGAATAGTAACAGAATGAGGACCTTTTAGACAAATTCTGTGTCTCTTTACCACACCCAAAGGAATAAATGCTGTGACAGAACAGAACCTGCCAGCAGGAATAAGCTAACAGGTGAACAGGTGGCAGCAGGTTAAGCCGTGCAGTGCTGATGAACTGCATTCTGAGCATCCTGATGCTTTGACAAACCATGCAAGTTACTCATGGCTACTTTGGTATTTTTTGACAGGCAAAGTTGGAGACACTTTGTCTTACTCAGAGCAGTAAGAAAAAGTCAGCAAATCGTAGAACATGAAAGCAGTCTGGAGTTCTGGCTTTGTTTTCACAGAACATCACACATACAAGCAGGCCAGGACAAATGCTACTTTTGGAACAGAAGAATAATTCTGCACCCTGAAATGTCAGGTATTTCCTGTACTGCAGTGCACACCAGAACCCAGGGCTTTGTGTAATTAATTATGCAATTTTGAACATAATTACTCCACTATCTGAGTGGAGAAAAACATAACTCTCGAGATCTGACTTAGTAACAGCTTTGGATTAGTGCTCAGTTGATGGTCTTGGAACCAATCCCATCTTGTTTCAGAAGGTGACAGTGTTTGCTCAGTCTGATCGTGCTGTAAGAAAAACAAACACGGGCCAATTAAACAGCAGAGTAAGCAGCTGAGAGCTCCTTGTTCTGAGTGAACACCACAGGGCCCAGGCTGTTAAAACTGAGGCAGAGCCCTTATTCAGCTCATCACACACTCAGCAGCACACGAAGCCTTCTATCTTACCACTGCTGGGAAAAAATTCCGTAGAAGACGCTGTCCTGCCACTTTGCTCTCCTAAGGAAAAAGATGTCCTGAATGATATTGAAATGGAAGTCGAGTTCTGGAATGGAGCAGGAAAGTCGGGCTTTTAAAAACGAAGTCCATCTTCTCTGCAGTAAGCGCTTCCCACCAAGGTCACCCTAAATAAAAGAACACCATCAACACTGCAACACATAAAACGTAGATTATCATCTGATAATATTGCTGTAGTAAAAAAAATATAGCTGTCCTTTCAATACAAATCTCAGTTCTAAGACCTAGAAAAAAGGTTTAAACGTCAAATGCAAGCTGAGCAGCTGGTTCTGTTCTAGCATGAAAGAAAAGAGGGAGAAAATTCAGGAGTAAAACATACCGAATTTTGTTTGGCTAAAACAACATTAAACGCTCAACTACAAAACTTCATCTGAAATACTGTAAACAAAATCTTTATATTTCAAACACTAACTTTGCAGATTCGGGCAATTCTGGACACCAGAATCTTGTCATAGAATTCAAACTCAACAGCTGTTTCAGTGAAGAACACATAAATTTTATCATCATCTCCATCTGGACTAAACTCACTTTCAGGTACTATTTCCATGCCAACAAAGCTTGGTTCTGAAATGCATAAATACAAAAAGCAATTTAAGTTAGCACTAAGAAAACTCACAAACAGCAGATATTGATTTAACAGTAAGTCTAATTAAAGTTAAGAGTTGAAAAGTATTTATGAATATGAAAAATTAAAAGAAGGAATTGCGTTTTAAATGGAGAGAGGCAGAGGCTTGCCTCATCACTGCAGATCTCAGGCACAACGTTTTGAATTCCCATTTCAGGCCGCTGCCAACCCAACATAACACACTGTTACATTCTAGAGATGGTTCACACACCAACAGATGCTCTCTTGAGCCTGAAGTATGCATAAAGCTTCTTACCATTTAGCCAAGACGTTTTAAATTCTGTTCTTACAGGATTTTGCATGCTGCGAAGTATTATAGGTTCTGTTCCCAAGAAATTATTTGAAGTAGCTGAGTAAAATGCCCCATCTGTAAAGGTTTGGAGAAAACTAAAAGCATCAAGTACTTTATTTTAAAATACAAAGGCAAATCTTAAGGAACAAATGGGTTGATATTCAAAAGCAGAATGAAGATAACAAAAAGTCTTCAAGGCTGTACATCAGTGAAAACGCACCTACAAAAACAGCCGCATATTTCAGAGTTGGCTCAAAAGGACATTTCCCTCTGCTCTCTTCAGCTCTTCCTTGCAAATGCATCTTTGTCCTCTGGATAACCTAAGGCAAGCAATCACTTTGATAGGATGAAGAAAACATCCTTTCAGTGTATTAACATTGGCAAATTGGCAATGAATTAACAACTGGCAAATGCACTTAAAGGAAAACGATCACAGAAGTAACTACAGAAATGTGAATCTCATGCAAAAAGAAACAGCATCTGGGCAAACGTTTTCTTGGTGTTTCACGTGTTTATGAGACAACCAGGAGAGTTTCTAATTTTCAACTGAAACATTCTTAGAAAGGCGTTTAAGAATCTGCCACGACTTGAGCTCCTTCAAGTAAAACCCACATTCAAATCTAATTACCATGTGGTCACACAGCGGGTGATAGGCGTTTGTCCCACAGACATACAGGTGGGAATCATTGATCTTACGCAGGACGAGGATGTAGTTTTGGCACCTTATCTAAAACAATGAAACAAAAGAGCACACTCAAATCCTGTGATAGATTGCATGCGAAAACTTTCTTGCCTTAGCAGCACACAAACAAACCCAACAGGTTTAAATGAACTTGATTTTAGGTCTTTACTAAAAAGAAACATCAAACTGCAGCCATTTTGATTTTAGCTAATAAGCTAGGGGAGCAAACTAAGGTTTCACCCACCTTGTCCTTGCCTCTACGAATACATTCCAGTTGTCTTTCCTGCGTAGCAAACCAGTGTTCCTACAGAACGGACTTCTTAGTTGGTATGCTGCAAAACTTAGCTCAAAATTACGCGTAAAAAGAAAATCAAAGGAAACTTAACACTGAATATACTGAGGTAAATCAGCACTTTTCTAGATGCCTGTGTAAAGTGCAAGGTGCTGTAAAAAACAACCTGGAAAGAGGTATAAAAGAGGCTTCAAAAATAAAAGTTAGCAATAAAGCTTCAGGATTTGAAATGTAAAATTACATATGTTAAAATCAGCATATTACATCCAAATAAATAAATCCGCAGTCAAAGTTTTGCTTTGATTTGAAAAAAGGTTGAAAATGAAGGCAGGTCCTTCACTTACCCTGGCAGTTTCTCTGGAAATGTTATTCAAATCAAGGGCAGATATTACATCCCTGCCTCCAACAAACAGCCTATCAGTTTCTTCATCCACAAGGAGAGCAGAGACATTGGACAAGCCTTCCTTCACAAACATTTCTGCATTTAGAGCTATGAAACACAGACGTTATTTTAAAGCAAATTATCACTGGCAACTCAGTGTTATGTAGTAAGAATTCCAGGTTGAAAATAAATAATAACCAAGCAATGTGAAAGCTTATATGTACTTCCAAAAGAGTTTCTAAATAATCCAAAGTATTCAGATAAGCATATGTATATTCTTTCCACAATTTAACACAGGAAGAATGAACAACACTATCATTATTACACTACATTTGGGTATTCCTGAGTCATTTACATGAATGCAAGTAAAACACTGAGGTGAGACAGTCAATAGCATCCCTTCCTGCCCCTAGTAAGAAATGAACCCCCAGTACTGTTTTATGTTTCTTTTTGCTCATCAAATGACTCCTTTTCACTTACTTTGGTATTTTACTGTTTTCCTGGGAATGCAGTTCCCAACAGATGCTTTTACCTCTTGCATTAATTGCAAAACAAGACAAAGGACAACAGCAGTGCCACCCATTTCCTGAGACTCAACTAGAAAAACGTTTTTCCCAGCTTTTACTCCTTGTTATAATCACAATTTCTTCATGGTTCCTGAAGACGTCCTGCTGACGACCTCCAAAGCAGGTATTTCCTGATAATCCTGGCAGTAAACCTTTACAGTGCTCCAGCAAATCCCAAGCAAAACCAGAGCTAGGCAGCAGTCACCTGCAATTACAGAAAGCACAAAGAGCTTCCACACCTCTTTTTGTAAAGCATCTGTGCTTTTTCCAATTTCAACTGTGTGCAAATGGCAACACCTGAGGAAACCACTGATGTAAGCCAAATGAAGTAACTTTAGGAATTAAACAAAGTTAATAAATCACGTTGGAAACTTCAGAATGCTATTAAATAAATGTCTGCCACTGTACTGTAACCCAGGCTGTGACTGCCATGGACAGACACTGCCCACGCCTTGGCTGAGGCATTTTCCGGGCCAGCAGCACAGACCGTGGCATTTGAGAACCAATTTCTTCTGACCAGCATTGATTGCAGCCCCTAGGATGGATGGCTGCTCAAAGCATCACGCATTCACAGCCATCCCATCTCGCCTGTATTGCAGTGGACAAACCTCAATTCCAACCCTGGTTCCCACAGCAAATTCAGCTTCAACCCCTTCCCTCAGGGACCACATCCCGAGGTTGTGGCAGGGCAGTCGTGCCCCGTTAGCCTCCTCCAGCTACCCCTCAACCACACATCATCCCACGACACCCTACAGCCTCCTAAGAACGCGTCCAGCAGCCCGCACCGCAGCGCCTGAGGCCAGCCCCCTTCTGCCCACGGACCCCAAGATGGCGGCCCCTCCCTCAGCCCCGCGCCCGTTGGCGCCCCGCGCTGCGCTCACGTGACGCTCCCCGCCTGCGGGCGGGAAGGCGGTGCCGCGTGAGGTGCGCTGTGTGGAAACCCGAAGAAATCCGAAGAAAATCATCATCGTCGGTCCCTAATTAAGCTTTTTCCTTTCCTGACACTGGTTTCTCGAGCAGTGTTGGGACCAAGATACTGATAGTCAGCAGGAGCGGTTGCTTTTCATTTCTGTGTCAAATGACACACAGAACAATTCATTTTTCTTTATCATTTCTATGATACAGTTTTATGCACTGCTTATGTGCAGGAGTAAGCTATGAGTTTGGAAAAGACATACAAATCAAATACGCGTGAAGCTGATTTGTGTCTTCTCAGTGACTGACAGATAAGCAGCGAAATAAAGCCTGGGCTGCTCTGTGTGGGGAGCACTGCAGCTGAGCAGCGTGCAGAACCCCGCCAGTACTTAACGCACAGCAACTGACAGGGCATCAAACGAAGGCAGAGCTTTGGGTTCTCAGTCCTTTCTCCTTACGCATGGCTTTTCGTACTTCTGATTTCCTATCCACCAGCCCTGCCTCTAGAGGAGGTCTTGCAAACCCATACAGATTGTTAACCCCAACAACAAACCAGGCTGTAAGGAAGTTCTGCCAAGCGTGCAGCTGTTAAAAACAAGATTTTCTTGCATTCCATTTGCTGCTTTTCTTTTGTGCTGTTATCCAATGAAACCCAACCAGCCCCTCGGAGCACAGCCTTGCTAGGATGCAATCTTCAAGAAAACAAATGCAACCTTCTAATGGCAGCAATGAGGCACAAGAAGCTCAGAGAACACACTGTGCCGGTGCTTTCTTGACCAGCAGTAACTTTATTGCCCACGGACAACGCAAACATTTTCCATGCTTGCTGCAATTCAGCAAGTCACTTAAAAGTTGACAAAAACCATTTATCCCAGGTCCCCTGTTGCTCTTTGAGCATGTTCTCATCCAAGGATTCATTACTGCCCAGATCTACAGCCTGGTTGTGATCGGCCACTCAGTTGTGAGATATGCAGAAAGAAGGATGCGACAGGACTTTGAAGAATTTATTTTTAATTAGAAAATATACCTGTTCGTAGCATAGAAAACAATCCAAACAAATAACATTTGAATTTCTGAATCCAGACTTTTCTTTTTTAGCATGACACATCGTGATGAACTTCAAAGCAAAATGGAATAGGAAAAAAAGTACCGTACATCGATTCTGAGAAGTAACATCTCGGCACAGATGAAGTGTTCACACTAAGGATGACGGAGTGTTGTCAAAAAACAAACAATAAATAGGAAAAACGTAACTGGTGTTACAACAAAGGAAAGCCTCAGAGACAAAACAAACAAAAAAAACCCCTCATATGATTTCAACGCAATTACTCCAAATGGTGTATTAGCGACTACAGTTCTTCACTCTGTTAAAACACCTCCCCCAAAACAGGGATCTCCTCATTCCTCTCCGATGCGAGCAAACACCCTTCTTCTAGAACCAGGTCCTTACACGTGTAACAACTGTTTAAAGGGAAAGGAGAAAAACAGAGGAGAAAGGCAGAGCTGGGACTCGAGCGTGTCTAGTAAATCTTGCCATAGGTGTCAGTGTAAAAGCAAGGGACAGGAGACTCAGCCTGTGTCCTTAGCAAATAAATATGTGCACTTCAGCTCTCAACAGAACCTGGCTGCACAACTGTTAAATTTCAGTTTGCTGCGTTTTTTTTTTCTCCTCGTATCCCATCTAAAGAAGGAATTCAAATTTAAAGGCAATAAACCACACGTATATGCAGGAAGTTTTGCTGTCTTAAAGTCAGAACATGAAGAAAACTGGAAATGACTGCGGACAGAAAGTAAAAGTGGCATTCTAACTGGAGCACAACGGTTCTGGCGTTCATTTGGAGACTAACACTGCTGTGTATGGGTTTAATACACTGGAAGCCACGTGAAGAAGTAACTAAGAAATGATTTTGTGGCTGTTCTCAACAGAAGCTTTTAGCAGCACAGAAACAGAGGGACCTTCCTTCCCTCACACACTAAAATCCTGCTTTACATTAACATAACACTGCATAATCTCAATTCCACTTGTTAGTGCCAAAAATGATGCACATCTCTTACGAACGGCCAAACTCACAAGCAAAACATTTAAACCACATAGTGTTTAGTTCTATATTTATTGCAGATATTAAAAGATTAACAACGCTAACAGTTTTACTTACACTGAAAGGAAACGTCAGTTACCCAATAACATAAGCATCTAATGTTACTAGCTAAATGCTACTGCCAATTTGCATGGAACAGAAACTAGCAAATTGCTCTGCAAGATTAATGGCAAAACAAACAAGCAAAAAAACAAAAAAAAAAACAAAAAGAAAAAAAACAACAGAAAAAACCCAACCAAAAGACAGTAGACACACCACTGAAGTTAGTTAAAATGTTCACTGAAGCTTGCAGTCTTCATGGAAGAGAGCCTGGAACTAAAATAACAGAAAAGAAGCTAGTAAACTTTCAACAAGGCAATGTATCTGCATAACAAATGTTGCATATGTACATATTTAAATTTTCAAATCAGAGCTGCCTGCAAAAGCAGGTCAAAATAAAAGGAAATTCCTTTTGCAAAAGGAGCATAAGGTCATCTCTTGGTAACACAAGATAAAAGTGGCAAATAGTAACTCACGTGAGAGCAACACTGGAATCTCAGCACCAATACTGCTCTGTTGATGTCTTGTCCAAAATTAAAGTTTGGCACAAGAAAGACAGACCATACTGTAACTACAGCCATCCAGAGTAGCAGGTTAAGATTTTCCCAATGTTCACTTTTAGTTTCAAGACAGCACTGCACTCTAAATTGAACTGCAATCAGGAAGGAAGGTACCCTTTTCCAATCTGGATACCAAGAGTTTTCCCAGATTGGGCAAGCAGGCGTTTAGCAAAGGCACCCAAATGGGACTGCGGCCAAACCCAGGTTAAGTCAGAGCAGCGCAGAATGCTGATCTAGGCTGAGAGGCTGGATTTCAATCCAGCGTGAAACGACACTGCCTTGTGCCTTTCTGCAAGTAGTGCAACACATAATAAGAACGCTACCAAAACGTAAATGTTAAAGAGGAGGTTAACTGGAAGTTTGCAAGGAAATAAAAAAGCTGTGAACAGAAAAACTGGCAGCTTCATCAATGGAACTAAAGGAAAAACTAATCCCTTTTGAGAAACAACTCAGAAGCCAACAACATCAGTTCCAGACTGTCACTGTACAACACAGTGACTGATAGTTAGCCATGGGCTCACGTTTCAGATTACATAATTGCCAACCAGGCACAGAAGAGAGGCAGTGAAGAATACACCCAGCTGGGAACTTAACAGGCACCACCAAACACCATAACCGATGGCCTTTAAAGTAGGTACAAAACATTTATGGATTTAAAGCATCTCCAAGTAAAGTAAAGCCTACAGAAATCTCCAGACTATCAAATGTCTTTAATCAAATGTGATAACCAGATAAACTTATGTGTATTTATGGTCTTCATGCTTCAGTTCCTTGTTAACGTAAAGGTGAAGACATGTGATGTCCATGGAAAAACAGAACTAGCAGCGTGGTACTTTTCTGCACCTGCCATTAGGGTTTTATGTAGTGATCAGCGTGCTTCAAAGCAACTAAAACAGTGATCAGAAAATTACACCAAAACATGACGCTGTTTCTTTTAGCTTCACAAACCCAAACCATAAAGAAAAAAGGCTTGCATTCATGATGGTTGTTACAGGCCAGAAAAAGTTTGTTGCTACAGAACGAAAACAAACAAACTCCCTTTCAACCAGCAGGGTTTGTAATGGAGAGTATATAATGTTCTTTAAACAGCAGACACAGGCATGTTTGTAACTGAAGAGCACATTTTCTTGTGTATTTGTCAGTTAGGAGCTTGAGGTGCTGCTACACTACGGTGGAGTGCACAAGCTCTTTGCTCTGTAAGGAAGCACGATGCAGGATGGGAACATCAGCAAGACAGCACTCGCTCCTAATAAGCAAAACATGCGTCAGCTCAAGATGAAATCTTTAAAGAGAACTTCAGTGAAGCAGGTTTTGGTACTGTAATATTCAAGTGAAGACTTTTAACTAATTTTAGGAAGGTAAAGATGGAGAAGCATGTTAAAAAAGTGCATGACATCCTGCCACTTTCAGTAATGCAGTCACAGAGCTCTTGTTGATGCACTTGTCTGAAAAAGATGAATGATCAGACTTTGAATGTTTATTTGTGGTAACACTGCTAAATCTGTCATGTCTTCAGAGCTGCTTCACCAAGAAGTTAGGAACTGCTTTTTGTTGAAGCAGAGTAGGTTAATCCAGTCTTCTCTCTCATCTGAAATAGTCCCTCAGAATTACAAGCTTTTTGTCTTATTGCATGGGGTTTTTCAATGAAAACTTCTGCAAAGCCAATATTTAATAGAAACAGAAATTACTCTCTAAACTGATGGTCTTACAAAACTGATGGTCCACTTCCAGATGACTTTTGATTATTTGATTTCCAAGTATCTTCTCCAGTATTTTCTGCAAACACACAAATCACACCTGGTCATGGCTTAAACTTCCTTGAGTAGGAAAGCTATTATTCAAGAATTGGTTGAACAAGAGCTGCAAACTTGTGTAAAATCAAAAAGTACATATAAAATATGCACTGCTTCTTTGCTACAATGGAAACATTGGCTGCTAAGGTTTTCCAAGGAGGATTTCAGCACTCTCAGACTCAAATGAACTTACTTATTCATCCTACACTTCAAGTATAGAATCCTATATAAAATAAGCAGGTGGGTTCAGATTCTTCTTGAAACTGGCGTGTGGAGGAAAGGAAACTGCTTTAGGCAGACTCGAAAAGCAGATGAGAAGATGAGCTCATCAACA